GTAGATGAGGACTGTGAGACCGAGAAGGGTGAATTGACATACCAGTGTGGTCCCTGAACCTGGATGGGATGCTTTGACCACATGATCCTCCCTCAGGAGCATTTAGGTCCTCACCAAAAGTGCTCTTCTGGATAACACACCAGAAACAAAGGCACACACTGCCTATTTCCCAGTTAGGGTTGGCCCCACCTGGCCCTCAGGAATCTCTTCTGGGACCTTTTAGCCCCTTTGTTGAATTCCTCCAGTTGATAGTAGAGATGCCCCAACTACCATCTTATGCTCCAGACCTCCAATCCTGGCTCCCTGGGCCCTCATTTTCTTCATCTGTCAAAGGGGTCACATGCAGCCTTGGGTTTGAGTCCTGAGCACAGTGTTCAGCGCAGTCTATGCTCTGTGCTGAGAGGGGCCAACACCTTTGTCATGCCTGCTTCCAAGACTATCTCGAGCTTCCTTAACAGCCACTCACATATAAAGACAAATTTGTCATCATCTGCGTGAACATTTTTGAGTATGGTCTGAAACAGCAGGAGAAGCGGAAAATAGAGCTGGACACCTTCAATGAGTGCATCCAGGAGGCCATCCAAGAAAACCAGGAGGAGGGCAGACTCAAGATTGCCAAGTTCGAGGAGAAGCACTTCATGGTAGGTCCTCCCCAACCTCCTGCTCTGAGTGCCTCAAGCCCCTCCTGCTGTAGACAGTCTGCAACTCCTGTGCACTCTGACAGCCTCTAAGGTCATGTTCACTCTTACATGTGCTGGGGATCATATTGCAGCTAAGTGGCAGAGTCAAGGTCCAGCCTCACCCCCTTACCACCAGCCTTAGCTCCCTGCTGCTTGACAACAGAGCAGTAGGTCATCCCCACTCCCACCATCTCATCATTAGTTTTATAATGATTATTTGTACCACTACTATGATGACTATGACAGTCTTCGGGTCATTCATTCATTTAGCAGAACTGTGCTAAGCCCCACCTGTGCCTGGTCCTGTGATGCTCAGCCATGATGTATGTGGTTCCTGTCCTTGGTGAGATGTTACCTGCTAATATGTGCAGACTAGGTCCCAGGCCCTCTCCCCTGAGTGAACCAAGTGGTCAGTGTTCTCCCAGAGGGCAGGCAGGGAGCCTTGGGGATTCCCTGGATGCCCCTTAACTCAGGCTGAAGAACCTAGGGAAGGCTGGGGGTTAATGGGACAAAGAAAGAGTTGGCCAGGCATGGTAGAGAAAAATTGTCCCACCCAGAGGATCAGCAAAGAAGCAGCCCTGATGTTTAGGACCTTGCCCAAGCAGAGCCAAGCAGAGACCATGATTTGTACTTGATGGCAATCGATTTTTCAAATTATTGTTATTGTCATTATTTGAGATGGTGTGTTGCTGTGCTGCCCTTGAACGCCTGGGATCAAACCATCCTTTTCCTGCCTCTTGAGCGGCTGGAACTACAAGCACACTGAGTGCCCAGCACAGACAGCATCATTTTTTTTAAATATTTATTTTTTTGTTGTAGTTGGACACAATACCTTTATTTATTTTTATGTGGTACTGAGGATCAAACCCAGGGCCTTGCACGTGCTGGGCAAGCACTGTACTGCTGAGCCACAACCCCAGTCCCAGACAGCATCATTTTTAAAGACAGTATTATTAACTTCTTCTAAGTCACAGATCTCCATGCGACTCTAAGGAATGCTATGGACCTCTCTCCTTGAAAAACTGCAGGTTTACCTACAACTTCAGAGGTTTCAAGGAGCCCATAAAGTCACTCCTGGCTGAGAACTTAGTTTAAAGTAGAACAAAGTCCCCCAATAATGCCAGTTCAGATACAATGGAGGTGGCAACTGACTCCCATATGCTTCCCAACCCTCGGCTACCCCAACCCGCTTCTTACCTCATAAGCCTCTCATATGGGGCCTCGTGTTCTGAGTGAATTCTCAAGACCCTTCTTTTTACGTTCTAAGGAGGGGGGTGTCACTGCATTCAACCAGAAATTCAAAACTGCCAGCAGGGGGACACATTTGGCTCACATATGTGTTTTATTTGGCCTGAAGAGGTTGCAAACCATTTTAAGCATCCTGACATTGGAAATGTGAAGACTTGCCAGGAAAATCATAGCTGCCAGCTTCTTTGGAGGCAGTTACCATCAGGGTTGTCCTCTTTGGACTGGCCAGGTCATGCTTCAGTTCCCCTAGTCATTCAGCTGCTTCTGACATTTCTCTCTCTTTCTCTCCCTCCCTCCCTCCTCCCTCCCCCTCCCTCCATCCCTCCCTCCTCCCTCCCTCCATTCAGCTGCTTCTGACATTTCTCTCTTTCTTTCTCTCCCTCCCTCCCTCCTCCCTCCCTCCGCCCTCTCTACCTTCTCCTTCCTTCCCTCCTCCCTCCCTCCTCCCTCCCTCCTCCCTCCCTACCTCCTTTCTCCCTCCCTCTCTACCTCCTCCCTCCCTCCCTCCTCCCTCCCTCCCGTGATACTGGGAATTGAACCCAGGGGCACTCTACCACTGAGCTATAATCCCAAACCTTGAATTTATGATCCTCCTGCCTCAGCCTCAGCCTCCAAAGTGGTTGATATTATAGGTGTGTACCACTAACATTTCCTACCGGGTCCCTATAGCCACTAGGTTTGGGACATCAACTAGTAGCTCTTCCTAAAACCAGGGGTTCCTGACCCTCTTAACAATTAGTCTCTTTGGAGAAGCAAGACATGGGCCCATGGGCCCAGCCGAGCCTGACTCAGAATATGCCCCTCACTGTCTGGCTCCTCAAAGGCCAACTAAGCTGAAAAAAAAAAAAAAAATATATATATATATATATATATATATATATATATATATAATTTTTTTTTAAATTTAGTTGGATTACAATGCCTATATTTTATTTGTTTATTTATTTATTTATATGTGGTGCTGAGAATCGAATCCAGGGCCTCGCACGTGCTAGGAGAGCACTCTACCGCTGAGCCACAACCCTAGCCCCCTGAGTGCTCTTCTTAGAGTCAAGAGCAGTGATTCTCATCCAGTCTGCACATCAGAGCTCACAGGGCCTGGAAACAAGCTGATAGCTGCGCCCAGGTGCACCCAGTTAGGTATTTGGCCCAGCACTGGGCTTTTCCAGAACTCCCCACATGCTTCCAATGCTCAACCCAAATTGAGGTCACTGACTTGGAAGTTCCCAAGATCCCATGGTCCCTGAGGGCCTCAGCTTCCCCTCCCCTCATAGGTCCCCTCCTATAGCTTTGTCCTGCTCTTCTCCAGCTTCCTCATCATACATAGCACCCAGCAGAGTACATCTTGAGGTCACAGTGCAATCAGTTAAGGCTTGGGGCTCATATAGACCCCTCACTGGTGACCCAGAGAAATATCATTGACCAGCTACTAGCATACATATCTTAATTGTGAAATGGAGATAATCCCTCACAGAAATGTAGGGGGAGCTGGGCACAATGGTGCACACCTATAATTCCAGCTACTCAGGAGGCTGAGGCAGGAGGATTACAAGTTTATGGCCAGCCTCAGCAATTTAGCAAGACCCTGTCTCAAAATTTAAAATAAATAAAAAGGACTGGGGATGTAGATTAGTATTGAACACTCCTGGTTTCAATTCCCAGTACCACAAATAAAATAGAATAAAATAACAAGAACTGCAATGAGAATCCATCAAGACAGAGAGAAAGCCCTCGTGTAAGCAAAGTCAGCATGAAATAATGACCAGGCAGGTCCTTGTGTCATCAGATTCACTTTTGAAAAGGTGATACGTGCACATGGCAGAAAATGGAAATTATCCACCAGAGGGTCCAGTCTCCTGTGTGTGTGTGTGTGTGTGGTGTGACATGAAAACATAGCATGCACTGTTATGCACTTTGCTAGACTATCCATTTCAGAGAGTCTACTAGGACTGAATAATTTGCCTCATTTTCTAAATGGGTATAAGATATCTCAACGCCTAAATGAGCTGGAATTAGCCAGCTTGATAATTGATAATGGACAATTAATTTTTCCCCAACATTTTGCTCTTTGAAACAGTGTTGCTATGAATAAATTGGTGCAAATCTGACCTTTAGAATGAAATCCTAAAAATGCAACTATGCATTGGGTCTTTTAGTGGTTTCTGCCCAAATGCACCACAGAGCCTGTTCCTTCCAAGGCTGACAGCCAATACCACAAGCTTTGTCAACCTGGTGCACCCTGCTTATTTCTCTTAAGTGGGTATGAGCAGCTCCTACTGAGCTGTACCCTGGCCCATGAATTTTTTTTTTAATGTAGTAGAATTTATCAATCTTTTTTCAGGTTGTACCTGGAGAGAACTTCTCCACTCTGAGATTTTTTATTAAAAATCTCCCATGTTTTCTTCTAGTGCTTTTTTTGGTTTTACTTTTCACATTTCCATCTTCACTCCATTGGGAATTTGTCTTAATGCAAATGAGGCAGGGATGGAGCCTGGCTTCTCTCCAGATGGGAAGCTATCATCAGTGTCCTGCATCCCACTGAATCACACCCCTTTACCCCATTTACTTCATCCTTCATCATGACTAATACCAAGTATTGACAAAAACAAACTGACATTGTTCGTGTCCCCAGACCCTTTGGTGGTGCGCAGCTGGTGTTCAGGGGCTGTGCTGGCCCCAGGGCTGCTCTCCAGCTCCTAAGCACAGTCTCATTCCAAATGGTTCAGCATTTTACCACTGGCTTCCATTTGCTCCCTGGGATTCTATGTGGGTCCCACTGATTCCCTCAAAGACTGGAACTGTCTTTCTGCTCTGGTTTGAATGTAGTCTGTCGGTGCTGCAGTTCATATTGAGGCATGGTGTTGGGAGGTGGTGTCTTTAAGAACTGATTAGTTCAATAGGAGGGATTAATGCTTTTCTCACTCACATGGGATGGAGTAGGTACCTTGAGAGGCAGGTCATTATAAAGCAAGCTCTGCTTTCCAGCTCATTCTCTTGCACCTGCTTTTCCTTGTGACCTCTTCTGCACTTTTGTCACTTGCCAGTCTTGCATGCACTCATGCTATGTAATGCTATCCACCATGATGTCATGCAGCCAAAAGGCCTCATGAGAGGTCGAATAGATAGGGTCACCCAATCTTGCACTTTCAGCCTCTAAAACTGTGAACTAAAAGACATTTTTTTTTTTTTGGCAATGTTGGGACTCAACCCAGGGCTTCATGCATGATAGGCAAGCACTCACCACTGAGCTAATTCCCAACCCTAAACCTCTTTTCTTTATACCTTATCCAGCATCAGGTATTTTGCTACAGATATACAAAATGGACTAAGACACTTTTTTCCCAGTGTCTTTCCTGACTCTCATCTATTATAGTCATTTTATCAGAGCCTCTGTAAATCAAACCCCCACTTGTTTTCAGGTGCCTCATGTATAAAGCCTCTGTTTCCTGGGACTTTGTGAAGTTCAGATTCTTCTTTCCACTAACAGGGAGGAAACTAAAGCTTAGAGAACAAAAGTAGCTCTCTCTTGCTAATAAGTGATCCAGGACTCAAATTCAGGCTCACCTGACCCTAAAGGGCAGGTACAATTTCACACTTAGCCTGTTAGTGTGTTCAACTAGAACCAAGAATGAAATTGACTTACAACAGATTAAGGAGGAAAAGCATACTTTTTTTTGCAGTGCTGGAACCCAGAACCTTATGCATGCTAGGCAAGTGGTCTACTCTTGAGCTAAATTCTCAGCCTACAAATTTTATTTAGTAATTCACTGGTACATGGGAGCACTCCAAGAAAAGCTCCAAAGCAGCATTTAGGGCTATAGGGTTAATACATAGTCACATATCACTTAATAGTGGGGTCTATTCTGAGAAAAGTCACTTGGTGATTTCATTATTGTGAAATTAAGACTGCTATGACGTCACTGAGTGATAGGAATTTTTCAGCTCCCTCATAATCTATGGGACCACTGTCATGTATGTGACACATCATTGACCAAAATGTCATTATATAGCATATGACTATACTAAATGGGAAAAAATTGTGAAAATATGACAAGATTGGGCTGGGGATATAGCTCAGTTGGTAGAGTGCTTGCCTTACATGCGCAAGGCCCTGGGTTCGATCCCCAGTACCAAAAAAAAATGTGTGTGTGTGTATATATACATGACAAGATAAAAGGGTTAGGCTAGGCTATGGTAGAGAAGCAACTAAGCAGACAAGGGATAGTTTAACAAGGTTCAATGGCATGGATTTCCCTTGGCCTTTACTCCCCATCTTTAGTGATAAGAATGTCTTCCCTTCTTCTGGTACAGGAAGGGCACCATTCTTGTGGGATTTTAATCTCCTGCTTTTAGGGAAGAAGGGTCAGCATTCCCTTCTTGCATCTACTATTTTTCAAGCACCTATCCCCAGCACTGGGTTGGATCCAGGATTCAGCGGTGCTCTACTACTGAGTTATACCCCGGCCCTTTTTAAATTTTTTACTTTGGGACAGGATCTCACTCAGTTGCCCATGCTGGCCTTGAACTTGCAATTTTCCTGCCTCAGACTTCCAAGTAGCTGGGATTATAGGTGTGTGCCACCATGCCAGGTTTCTAAAGCACCTTTCACTCAAAATAATATGCTAACGTCACAAGCTCCCAGAACTGGCAAATGACAGAAGTGAGACTTGAACTTTAGGCAAAACCAAATTGCCACTTGCCATCAACTAATTATGCTTAACTGTTGATTCCTAAAGCACAGGCTTTTGTTTCCAGAATTTAAATAGCATCCGAGAAGAATCTGATCTGCTCAACATTGAGAAGAAGATAATGGAGTGCAGTGAGGATATCACTGAGCTATTCAACGTGCTCATGACACTGGAGATGCAGCTGGTAGAGCAGCTGGAGGTGAGGTTGGGCCTGGGTGCAGATGCAAGAAACTGGTGGCTCAGCTGAGAAACCGCTCCATGAGCTGCAGCCTCCATGCGTGTTGGAAAGGTCCAGTGTGATCTAGAGTGTCACACTGAAGCCTTCTTGCTCATCATTCCTGTGTTCCCCCTGGCCTCCCCACCCCCTCACCGGGGATGGAACCCAGGGCTTCATGCAAGCACTTTGCCACTAAGTCGCACCCCCAGCCCCTGCTTTTATATATTTTTAATAATTTAGATGGTAAGTGACTCTTGTGGAGAATGAGAGGTGAGCTCATTCCTCTGGAATGTTCCTCTCCTTCTGAAAGAGCCCAAAGCCTCAGCAGAGAGAGGTTTTTTTATTAGACCCAAAAGCAGTCCCAGGGCTTGCAAGACAAAGTAAACCCCCACTCCAGGACCAAACAAAGGCGCCTCCGCATCGCAGCCTGTGGTTGCTGTCTCCCTGGCGATGCGAGGAGCCTGCAACTCAGTAGCAAGATGTGGAAATGAAAAGCGCTGCTGTCTAAAATTCATTAGCAGCCAGGGTGACTTGTGTGTTCGCTGGCAGCAGAGGCCGGGAATCGGAAGTGGTGTGATGAATTGAACCTCATCTGATGCTGCCGTGGCTGGGCCAAGAGATAGCGCCTAATCAATTCCTCACACGTCAAGTGACACCTCAGACATGAGATAGATTTCGCCATCACATCCCGCAGCAGCCACTCGCTCCCCGCTGGGAAATGCTCAAGCACTGCAGAAGGAACACGCAGCGCCAGGGGAGGGCCCGCCAGCAGCCCACGACCTTTTCAAGCAGGGAGATCGCTTTTCAACATCCAAACGTTTCCCAGAACCGTGCACTGTCCTACGTGTATTACCAGTGACCAAAAGGCGGGGAGGACACTCATGCTTTTCAATGACCCTATTTTTATTCACCACAGCAGCACTCATACACACATTTGGAAAATGTCTCATTTGCTGGGCCTGCAGGCAGTCCTTGGCTTCCTGTAGATACCCTGTACCCCTAGCCTACCTTGCAGCCCTCGGAGTGTGGCAGATCAGGGCAGGGGCCTCCCAGAGCAACAGGCCTCACAATTGCATCTTCCATTATTCCCTTCATAACACTAACTTCCATTTAGGCCACAGGTGCTTTGCTAAGCACCAGGAAATAGCAACTAACAGTAACAGCTAACACTCCCTGAGGGTCTCCTCTCTGTCAGGCACCTTGCAAAGTATTTTGTGCAAAGCAGCTCATTTAACCCCACCCCAATTCCAGGAGACAGGCACCAGCCAGGAAACCCATTTCACAGATGAGGAAGGAGAGGCCCAGAAGATTAGGTGACTTTCCCAGAGTAATACACAAGGGTGGGGCTGGGATGCTGATACAGGCAGGCTGACTCTTTATAGCTCCCTCACTGTTTCTTTGGAAGTTGATAGATGACATTGAGAAACCCTAAATAAGGGTGTTAGTCTGTGGAGATAGTGGGGGTAAGAGGAATAAGACCAGGACAGGTGTTTCTGGCAGAGGGACCAACAGACAAAGCCCAAGAGAGCATTTAACCTTTAAAGTGGGGAGTTTGTTGATAGTGGAGAGTAACAAAGCTCTGGAGAGAGGAAAGGTCATTTCTCAACCATCTTCCCAGGGAGGTCAAGGTGGATAGTGTCCACCCCTAAAGATATGTGATTAAAGGAAGCACCTGCTAAGTTCTGAGCACCACCTTTTGCTCTGATGCAAAGTATCTAAATATACAAGTTAACTTTATCCTTTCCAGGAGACCATAAACATGTTTGAAAGGAACATCATTGACTTGGTGGGACTCTTTATCGAAAATGTCCAAGGCTTATATCCTTTTTGTGATGACACCTCCACAGGAAGATACTACATAGTTCCTAGGGATGTCCTGGCTTCTTGGGGAGATAGGGAAAAGGTGTCTGCAGTTCTAACAAAAGGTAAGGAAGGGGCTGGGGATGTGGCTCAAGTGGTAGCACGCTCGCCTGGCATGCGTGCGGCCCAGGTTCTATTCTCAGCACCACATACAAACAAAGATGTTGTGTCTGCCTAAAACTAGAAAATAAATATTAAAAAAAAAAAGTAAGGCAGGGTAAGCCTTCTTCAGAATCTTAAGCAAGATGCAAATAAGTGGGTTTCTCTTCCAGATGGCCATCTGCAGATCACCACTGCCCCTCCCACTGCCCCCTGTGCCCTAAACAGGTTGGCAGAGGTAGTAAGAAGTTAGCACTCCACATCATATTTCACTTTTTACTGGAAATACCTATTTGCCATTTGATTTGGAGAAAGATCTACACCTCCACCAAGAGGATATTTAAATTCACTATAGGATTCTATTTAATGGGGATCTCCACCTTTGAAATTAGAGGAATGTAAAACATTCAGTTTTCCACCAACAAAAAAGCTTCAAAGGATGAAGGCTTAGAACCACATAAAATGTTCAAAAGAATGTTCTTTAGGGTCCAAGGTGGTTTCCCAACCTTTAGGACAACAGTAGTCTTGTTAGAGTGACATTCAGATGCCCAGAGTGACTGCCGTACAATAGAGTCCTTGCCTGTTTTTTCTCAAGGTGGGTGATGTTCATGGGAAGATGACACCCCAAAATCACCATCTGCTCCTGTGTTGCAGCCTAACACACTCTGGGGCTTAAGTAACATCTACATTGAAGACACAAATTACTTACATTGTGTTTCTCAGGTTGAATGTTAGGGTCAGAAATTGACATATGGAGCATGTCAACCCTTCAGCCACCTGAACTAAGGGCCCTGTTACACTGGGGGAGGGGGGGGATGGCAAACTGTATGCAAGCCCTGGTTCTGTCCTCTTGGGGCTCAGATCCAGCAAGTGGACAGAAGTTATGGCAGTAACAAGTGGTACCCAATGCACAGGTGAGTAGCAGCCAACTTGGAGGCCAGGACCAAGTGCCTCCATGAGAGAGGGTCCACTAAGGCTCTTACTAAGTGGCCAAAGGGACCAGGAGAAAGGGTAGGGGAGAGTATACAGGTAGAGAAGGTAGCATGCACGAAGGTCCTGAGGGTGGGCCAGAGGAGCTTGGTTCTTAGGCCATGTCAGAGAACTGGAAGTTCCCAGGCACTTTAAGCAGGGGACAGATGGGTCCTGGCTACCCTTGTCCTTAAGCTCACTATGGCTGCTATGAGAAGAAGGGGCAAGAATGAGAGATTAGCTAGGAGTGGCAGTGCATGCCTGTAATCCCAGTGGCTCAGGAGGCTGAGGATGTTCAGGGGTTAAACACTCCTAGGTTCAATCCCTGGTGCAAAAAGGAAAAAAAAAAAAAAAGAGGAAAAGAAAAAAAAGAGTGGGGGAATTGGGGAGTGGCCTGGGGTTTGGTACGCATGGGTGACATCTGTGAGGATGATAATGCTTCCTGACATCTCAAGAGTTTGCCTTGAGCCTTAAAGTCTGCTCTCCTCTAGTTGAGATGAGATGGACTTTTGCTTGACAGAAGTTCAGCCACAGGTCAGGAAAGTGCCCGTCCTGCCCCAAACCTGGCTTTGCTTAACTCACGGTTGCACTATGGCTCAGTGCCGGGACCTTGAAAATCACCACCATGAGAAACTCCTGGAAATCGCCATCAACACCCTAGAGAAGACTGCTAAGGGTGAGATAGGCAACGACCTCCCTGAGGATGTGCGCGCGGTGAGCACGGAGAGCGGGGCTGGGCGCTCTGGGCGGGGCTGGGTGCTCTGGGTGGGGCTGGGCATGGAGGGCGGGGGTGAGCGCGGTGGGCGGGGCAGAGCGCTCTGGGCGGGGCTGGGAGCAATGGGCGTGGAAACCAGACAGCCTTCCAACTCCGCTTGGTGCCTCGGGTAAACTCGACAACCTCCCGGAGCCTCAGTTTCCCTATCTATAAAGGGAGGCAGTAATCCACTTTGCAGGGTTGTTGGTGGATGAAATAGGTTTACCAAATAAAGCACTCAGTAGGGCCCATTAAAGAGGAGATCCTGACGATTAGGTGGTTTCAACTTTCCAACAGTTTGGTTTCTGAAAGTTCAATTCTGTAGGGGCTTCTGACGCTTTCTCAGAGAGGCAGTTACAAATAGAAGTTAAGAACTGAGATTTCCAGCCGAACGTATCTGTTTATGAAAACTACTGGGATGTGGGAATCACCCCCCAAAGGGTGATGCAGCCCCAGTTCCCACCAGCATGTCCACCATGGGTGGACCTCCGGGAAGCGGGGTGGATAGGGCCCAGATCCAAACACTTTCTTATCAAGGGCTTGTTTTTTCTAATGCTTGTTCATTAGCAGCCAGCTAATGAACCTTATGGTGAATTTGTAGATAGGCTTATTCAAACAGCTACCAGAGTTTTTGGCAAAGCAGACAACTGAGCTAACCGGCCTCAAGAGCAGGAGGATTGTGGGAGGTGGAGAGAAGCTTGTGGGAGAGAGAGAGGCTTGTGGAAAGCCGGTGGTGGCAGTTGAGGCTCTGAGGATTTTTCCTGAGAGGCTGTTTTGTTTGGCGTGTGTGGTTCTAAAAATAAAGTTAGTTTCTTTTGACAAGTGGCTCCTGATTGTTCCCAGCCAGACTGCGGCAATTCCACTGCCATTCCCTTGTTTTCTTTTCATCACCATGTTACCATGAGCCAAACCACTGCTATCCGTTACCTGGCCCAATAGCCTCCTTGCTCGGCTTGCTTGTTTCCTGTGTATGTGTGTGTGTGTGTGTGTGCCTGCGCGCGCACACCAGGGCCTTGTGCATGCTGGGCAAGCCCTCCATAGTTGATCTATACCGCCAGCACTTTTTCCTTTTTTTAAAAAAAAATTGAGGCTGCGCCTCCCTAAGGCTGGCCTCAGCCTCCCAAGTAGCTAGGATTATACCCCAGCATTACTGTGCACATGGCCTCGCTGTTCTCTTATGGGCTGCTCTCCATACACAAAGGGAGACTTTGAAAATCCAAACCACATCATTTTGCTCTTTTGCACAAGCCCCCTCCCCTATGGCTCCCCATAACTCTTAGGATTAGTTCCTCCCCATAGTCACCCATGCCTCAGGACTAGGCCTGCCTACTTCAGCAGTATCCCCCCACACCACCCTGAAACTCCTGATGCCGGGTGCCCCAGCCTCTGAGCTGTTCCCCAGTCTCCCAGGCTTGCTCCTTTCAGATGATACTCCATCTGGCAGATGTGTTCTTTCCTTAGGTCTCCATATACCTGGCTAGTCCTTGTTATTCAGATCTCAGCTCAAATGTCAGCTCCTTTGAGAGGCCTTCCCTTATCACCTTCTTAAGAACCTGTTGTCTATCAGGCACCTCATTGTCTTATCAGGGCAGAGACTTATCACAGTTCCAAACTCTCTGGTTTGTGTTGATTTTCTTATGTGACTATTCACATTTATATAAGTTCCTGGGAGTGGGGACAGGGATGGCCTTTTCACCACCATGTGCATTCCAGTGCCAGCAACAATGTAAACTGTCCATTGTAGATACCAGGAATTGCCAGAGGGATGAGTGGGTGAAAGCCTGTGTTCACCTAGCCTCTGCTCCATCAGGTGCTGGGTGACGATTGGCAGTCCTGACATCCACAGCCTCTGTTCCGGGGCCAAAACAAACACCTACCACAGCAGGACCACTTGACATCAGCCTTTCTTCTCTATGCCACAAATGTGGCTAATTGTGGATCAGTCACAGAAAAGTGCCATCTTCCCCAAGCCAGAAAGTAATCTCCCCTGAGGGAGTCCATCCTCAAACACCCCAGACAGATCCTCACGGTGGCGTCCCAGTCTCAGGTCTGGGATACTCAGTGGATATAGGACTGCAGTGTGCTCACTCTCCCGTGCCTGGGACACATGGTGAAAGAAGGACCCTGGAGGTCAATAGCAGAGAAGCAGGCTGTACTAATGCTAGTGGTCAACCTTCCCTGCTACCCAGCTGGCCCTGCCTAATGCCACCTGACACCTATTCCCTATTGCTACCCAAACCGAGAACCTGCTGACTAAGCCCCAGCTAACTGTAGTGACTAGTGACACAAGAGTTCCCTCACTGGGGGCTTGCCACTGTCTAGGCTTGATGGTCACAAATCTCCTTTACTTCACCAAAGACTCCACAAAGGAGGGGCCATAATCATTCCCAGGATACAAAGGACAAAACTGGGTAAGATCTGTCCAAGTGGTACAGCCTATGAGGACTGGAGACTGGATTCAGACTCTGGTCTGACAGATGCAGAGCCCAGACCATTACTATAGAGCCAATGCTGTGCCCCTCACTGTAGATACAAGATGGCAGACATTCTGAGACTTCCACGGCTCCAGGCACTTGGCCACAGGGTTCTGCCTCTGAGCTAAGGGGTTGCTTGGGCTCACTGGCAGGGCCGTTGTGGAGAACTCTCCTCAAGGCCTCATAAGGGACAACCAGTGTGAGACTGTCCTCTTGGGAATGTCTGCAGTTACAACAGGGCTATTGCCTAAGATTCCTTCCAGGTAGGCAACAAAATGTGGCTGCTTGTTCTTGGGGCAACAGTATGCCCTTGACTGTAAGTGATAATCACAACCAGTAGCTGACATTTACAGTGGGCCTCCCTTTGAGAATCACTGGGCACCAACTGCTCTTTTAATCTCATTACCATGGTAAAATAGATACCATTATGGTTCTCGTTTTATAGATGAGGAAATTGGGGGCTGGGATTGTGGCTCAGAGGTAGAGCGCTCACCTAGCATGCGTGAGGCCCGGGGTTCGATCCTCAGCACCACATAAAAAAATAAAATAAAATAAAATAAAGATATGTGTCTACCTATAAGTAAAAAATAAATATAAAAAAACAAACAGATGAGTGGGGCTGGGATTGTGGCTCAACGGTAGAGTGCTCGCCTAGCACGGGCGGGACCTGGGTTCGATCCTCAGCACCACATAAAAATAAAGGCATTGTGTTGTGTCCATCTACACCTAAAAAATAAATATTAAAAAAAAAACAGATAAGGAAATTGAGGCTCAGAAATTAAAGCAAACTGTCCAAGCAGTAGAACTATGATATTAAACTCAGGCAGTTTGACTCAAAGACTTTGACAAAATATCTACTGAGCCTGAGGGAAGTGTTCAAAGGAAGGAATAGGGTCTTGGGTAAAAAAATCTGACTGCTGTTACTTGATGATCAATGAGTGGATCATGATAAAGTCACACTGATGGAGTTATCTCTAAAACTCTTCTCATTCAGTTTGGTGATTATTATCAGCTCCGGCCATACGTGGGCCCCAACATGTCACACGCCTGTATGTTCAAGTCCTTTCCAGCTTGGACAGGAAAAGCAGAACATAAGTGCTGAGAGAGCCTAGGGCTGGCAGTAAGCGATGGCCTCAGAGTGGTTCTGGCAGACACAGATGCCTATTTGAAGGGTAGAAGAATGTCAGATGCACTACCTGGCAGGACAAGTGCTCAGACCATGGCCATGGGGAGAACTTTCAAGTCCCCAGCATCTGCTCTAGGGTGGCTGCGATGAGATTCCAGCCAAGGGCTGCTCCTTGTCTGTGTCACCAGTATGACAGGATGATCTGATCCCACACAGCTGGGGCAGCAAATCCTTAAGCTACCAGCACCACAGTGATCCTGGGGAGGGGCACCACCTGTGCCTTTTTAAAAGTCCTCTTCAAGAAATCACTTCGAGGGGCTGGGGTTGTGGCTCAGCGGTAGGGCGCTTACTTAGAACGTGTGAGGACCTGGGTTCAGTCCTCAGCACCACATAAAAATAAATAAAAATAAAGGTGTTTAAAAAAAAAAAAGAAATCACTTTGAAAGAAACGTGTCTTTATAGCTCCTGGGGCCACCTCTGTGAAGTCCAGCAAGGTACACAGAATGGTTTTGGGGGGGGACAGCTCAGAGAGCTGTTGTTCCTCATGGGGTTTGCACAGCCCCTGCCTCTACTCCTGCAGAAACTGGAGGGGAATACAGAATATTCTTTTCTTTTTTCTTTCTTTCTTTCTCTCCTTCTTTCTTTCTATTTTGTACCAGGGATAGAACCCAGGGGCACTCAACCACTGAGCCACATCCCCAGCCGTTTTTTTTTTTTCTTCAATTTTTTTGTAGTTGTAGATGGACAGTATGCCTTTTTATTTATTCTTATGTGGTCCTGAGGCTTGAACCCAGTGCCTCACCTGTGCTAGCTAAGTGCTCTGTCACTGAGCTATAGCCCCAGCCCCTCCCCAACCATTTTTTATATTTTATTTTGAGACAGAGTCTCACTGAGTTGCTCAGGGACTCACTAAGTTGCTGAGGCTGGCTTTGAACTTGCGATCCTCCTGTCTCAGCTTCCCAAGCCACTGGGATTATAGGTGTGCGCCACCACACCCAATGGAATATAAAAGATTCTGCCCATAAGAATTATTTCAAGAGAGAAAACTGAAATGACCACCACCCTAGACCACCCCAAATCCAGAAAGAACTTGCCATTTGAATTTCTACAGAATCTCTCAGCTAAGCACGTTGGTACATATCTATAGTTTCAACTGCTTGGGAGGACAAAGCAGAAGAATTGCTTGAGCCCAGGAGTTTGAAGTCAGCCTTGGCAACATAGACCCCTTCTCAAGAACAAAAACAAAAAGAAAAAGCCATAAGAATTTCTTTAAGCCAGATTCTTTCTGTTTGCATTTTGCAAATGGCACACCAGTTTTTGATCACCAATTCTAACTCATGTTTCTAAGCAGACTTCAATTTCTCTTGCTTCTCAGAGCCTCCAAAGCCATTTTCTATATGTTCAAACTCAGGAGGATTATTTTCCTGTGTGGCCGAAGAAAATAGCTACAATTCAGACTGGGGATGTAGCTCAGTGGTAGAGCACTTGCCTAGCACATATGAGGCCCTGGGTTCAATCCCAATCCTTAGCACCAAAAAAAAAAAAAAAAGAGAGAGAACCATTATAACTCACTTTTATTTTTTTATTGTTATAGATAGACACGATATTTTTTTAAGAGAGAGTGTGTGAGAGAGGGAGAGAGAGAGAATTTTTTAATATTTTTAGTTTTCAGCGGACCCAACATCTTTGTTTGTATGTGGTGCTTTGGATCGAACCCGGGCCGCACGCATGCCAGGCGAGCTCGCTACCGCTTGAGCCACATCCCTAGCCCCTAGACACAATATTTTTATTTTGTTTATTTATTTTTATGTGGTGCTGAGGATCTAACCCAGTGCCTCACATGTGCAAGGCAAGCGCTCCACCACTGAGCTACCAACTCCAGCCCGACTACAACTCACTTTTTTAGAATGTTAGAGTGAGAAAATTTTAATGAGGAGTTGATATGGCTATTGCTATTTCTAAAATACCTGGCCTCTAACTCTTGAGCACACTGACGGAGGCTTATTGTAGGCAAGTTTTACACATCTCTGAGCCCTTCCCAGAGTCTGGCCTAGGACCTTGTACAAACAGGGTAAGAACTTAATAACCGCTAGTCATTTCTCCCATGGGACTATGCCAACTGGTCCCACAGTCACCTCTTTCCCCACATTAGCTAACCTGGCTTTTCCCACATGGGATTCTGTAGAAAACTTGCATCCCATAGACATTATTCTGAAATGGGGTTGGTGGTCAAATAAATAGGAAAACCAAGAAAAACAAAGTTAAAATGGTTTATTTTCTGCAGGCCTTTGCAGAGCCTTCAGGATACTTTGTCTCCTGTAAAATCTTCATTTGGGGCCTAGAGGTATTGGCTTTCTCATTTGTGTTTGACCAAAAAATACCTGCAAAGAGCAGAAATATTAATAGCTCAAGATTCCACAGAACAGTCAGAAGTGACGGCACATGCCTATAATCCCAGTGGCCCGGAGGCTGAGGCAGGAGAATCATAAATTCAAAGTCAACTTTAGCAACGTAGTGAGACCCTGTCTCAAAATTTAAAAAAAAGGGGGGGGGGCTCTGAATGTGGCTCAGTAGTTAATTGGTGCTGGGTTCAATCTCTGGTACAAAAAAAAAAAAAATTCCACAAAACATAGTTTGGAGACCATTATGTTAAATGCTACTATGGTGGTGGTGGTGGTGGTGAGAGGAAACAAAAAACCCAGTACAGGTTGAGCATCCCTGATTCAAAAATCCACAATGGGTTTTGGAGCATTTCGGATTTCAGATTTTCCAAGTGGGAATCTCAAAATTCTATGCAAATATTCCCCAAATCTCCATAACTACAGAATGTAAAACATTTCAGACAAGAGATACTCTGCCTGTATGCATTCCATCTGAAGCCCTCCCTATAACAAAAATTGAGGTCCTTTGCTATTCTTGGCATCACAAAGTACCTCTGATTCAAAATGGAAGCAGCTGCTTACTAAGTGCTTCAGCAACCTTCTCCCTGCTCTGCGCTCCATTTTCAACCACTCCAGGCACAGACAGCTACAGTTGTTGACACCGAAGACCAGCCAGGCCTTCTAGAGGATGGTTGGTTGTAACAACTTTTTACAAGGCAGTGAACAAGGTCAGGAACAAGAGAAGGCAGAAGGAGACCCCAAATAGTGTCCAAGATTTGCTTTTATTGACGCGAGAGGCAGTGAAATGACAAATAAGGGGTGAACGCCCCAGGTTTGCAGGGCCTGCTGTCCTTGGAGCAGCCTCAGGATCTCTGGCCAGCCTCATACTTCCCAGGGGTTTGGGGCAAGTCAGACTTGAAAACCCTGAGAGAGATGCTTTGTGAGAACAGATGTCCTGAGTGGGGTTGCCCTGGGCAGCCATCTGCCTTCTCCCTGGAGAAAACATGCTCCCAGTGAGGATTGCAGAGTAACACCTGCCACTGTCCTGGTCAGGGAAGTGGCTGCCACCTGAAATGAGCAGGCACAAAGCACACCGATACAAAGGTAAGGTTCTCTACCAGGTGCGGCCTGCACAGCCAGGAGACTCCCAGGGGTCCCTTTTCTATTCAACCCCCTCATTTTGTATTTAGGACATAATGACATGCACAGTTTCATTTGGGCCTTCTCATTCACCAGCTTTTTATCGACAAAGACACGGTTGTTAATGCTGTTGGGGCATCGCATGACATCCACCTCCTGAAGATTGACAATCGAGAAGATGAGCTGGTGACCAGGGTCAACTCTTGGTGTACACACTTAGTAGACAAAGTGAGTAAATGCCAACCCATCCTAGCAAGCTGGGCCAACTTTTCTAGCTACCAGCCAGAGCGAATGGGGATCTTACTGTTTTCTATGAGGAACAAAACGGACAAAGAAATAGTTAAGGATTACAGATTTCCACAGTGAAAACTTAGGGTTGCTCGGTCAGAGACTTTCAAACCCACGTGCTTCATCATTTCTCTAACTCCTACATCGAATATAGAGAGATCAGCTGAACACAAGGAGGCTCTGAAGTAAATGAGGCATGGAAACTATGGAGATTTCAAAGAACAATTTTTCTTTCCCTCAAACTCACTTCAGTAAAAGATATTAACCAATTATCTGATTGAAGGCCCTGGGCTTTGATTTCTATCCCCAGATTCACAAGGATGAGATCATGAGGAACCGCAAGCGAGTGAAAGAAATCAATCAATACATTGACCACATGCAGAACGAGCTGGACAACCTGGAATGTGTCGATATCGTAGATTAGATGCCAGGGGTCCTCTTCAAAATACGCGACAGCCCTACCTGAGGAGCGGGCTCAATTTACCAACCGTCTGGGGAGAGTTACTGGGAATTCCTAACCCAAGTCTCCTCTTGACATTACTCCTTCCCCACCCGTGGAAAAAGTTCCGAATACAGAGAAAAATAAAGGATTTATGTCACCTTTCTCCTATTCTTAGAGAGAGAGAGAGAGAGAGAGAGAGAGAGAGAGAGAGAGAGAGAGAATATCCACATCTATATGTGAACAAGAAAAAAGATGAGGGGGAATAGCAGTCTCTGGCCAGTCAATAAGAGTGGGTCCCAAGATGGCCAGTGGTTAGCTGGAGGTATGATTGTGACAGAATAGCAGATGTCTGTTGAGTGCTGTTCCCTTATTGGTACCCAGAACAGGCTGCAGATGTGCACATAGCCCTCCCCTCTTTGGGTGCTGAGGACCAGGGAGGCAAGGGAGGCCAAGGTTCCCACCACAATGCTGGGGGCTGGGCCAGCCCTCCAAGGCAAAGGACATGGCTCCCTATGGCTCAGTGCTTGGCTATAGGGACCCAATGACCCTCCAGGAGTTAAGGGTGCAGGCTGGCCATCCTAGCCCTATGACGTCACCTTTGCTGCCTGACCTTCATCTGTGACAGTACCTCCTTGGAGTATCGTTGAGGGGTTCAGAGTGTGTGTGTGTGAAATAGAGGAGCATGGGGTCAATGCCCTGTGACCAGGGGTAATGACATTTTATTATATAAACACGTGAAGACATGGAGCTCAGAGTCTGCTATGAGGCCTAAACTCTCCCTACTGCTCTTCCACTGAACCTGGTACCAGGAAATGGTACCTGCTACCACTCCATGGCCTGCTAGGACCATGGAGGTGGCGGTGTTGGGGGACACTCAGGACTACCATGTGGAAGATGAGCAGAAATGTGCATAGTTAGCTCTCTGTCACTATAACAAATAGCTGAGATAAACAATTTATAAATAGAAAAGGTTTATTTTGGCTCACAGTTTCAGAGGGTCCAGTCCATGGTTGGTTGGCCTTATTGATTTGGAGCCTGTGGTGAGGCAGCACATCGTGACAGGAGTGCAAGGTAGAACAAAACTGCTCACCTCTGGCCAGAAAGCAAGAGAGGAAGAGGAAGGGGCTGGAGTCCCACACCCCTCTCAAAGGCACATCCACAATGACCTAAACACCTCTCTCTAGTTCCCATCTCTTAAGGTTCCACCTCCCAACAATGCCACTCTGGGGAACAAGTCTGGAAAGCACGGGCCTTTGGGGGACATTCTAGAACCAGACTAAAAGCAGTGTATATCAGGTGGCCTTGCCAGAACCATCTGACTTTTAACCCAGAAACCACTATACTTTCTATTTTCAAGAGTAAATCTTTTTTTTCCCCCTAGAACAGTAGGAAAAAATGGAAACAACCAGTTTAGACCAAGAAGAACTCACTTTCAAAAGACTGTTTGATGAAAATGAGGGGGAAAAAAGCCTTTAGGCTGAGGACTGAAGACACAAATAGAGTTGTCTGTTGGTGACATGATTGTTTCCCCAGCATGAAGCTCCTGACCATGGGCAGCAGATATTAAAATGTGCCATGGAAGATAAGCTGTTCAACCTTGGTGACAAAACAAGAATGGAGAAATGTAGAGACGCAGATGAAAATGGGTGAAGAAATTTTTAATAAACTCAGGATCAAGAGAAAGTCATTTGTACAATTCATCCCCCTCACTCACAGCTGGCTAGGTCAGGGGCCCCCCAGGTTGCAATCAGGCTGACCTTCAGACAATCACTGTGTGTCTCGGGGACATCTCAGGGTGATGCCGAGCAAGGTTAAGCCCCAAAGGTGAGGGGAGCCCTGTAGGTGTGGGCCGAGATGTCCCAGGCTGGGGAAATGTGAACACGGCAGGCTCCATCCAGTAGTCCAGGCCTCACTCCTGCAGGAGCTTGTGCTTGACCGTGGAGCTCTCGGAGCAGAGGTGGACGAAGAGGGTGCCAGCAGCAGTACGGGCCCTCAGTTCCTGCAGCTCGTAATCATGGGCCCACTCAATGTTGCCCCATTTCTGGATCTGAGAGGAGGACAAGACAAGGCTGGGTAAATGGCTAGACCTGTAGCCTGCTGACCTAAGCCACATTTCAATCCCATCTCTGGGCTGAAGGCAGCAGGCTCTAATCTTACCAAAACAAGTGGATGCATGGAGTAACACCCAGTAAGCCAGGTGTGGTGGTGCACACCTGTAATCCCAACTACTCTGGAGGCTTAGGCAGGAAGATCACAAGATCAAGGCTATTGTGGGCGACTTAGAGTGAGACTCTATTGCAAAATAAAATGAATAAAGGGGTGGGGAGACAGCTCAGTGGCAGAGTGCTCCTCAGTTTAGTCCCCAGTATGGAGAAAAAATAACACCCAGGTGGCCAGGGCAGGCCCTGTTCTCTCTGGGGTGTGGGTGGTCTGGGAGTAGTATATCCAGTCCTAGGGCCAGTGGCTAAACCAGACCACACAGGTCCCGCAGAGGCAGCCTGACCTGTGTACTATCCCTTATCCCACACTTCCTACTAGGAGGTTTATGTGAGGTGGCCTGCCAACTGTCATCCTGCAACTCCCCCCCCTACTTCTTTTGGTCTGTGATGCTGGAGATTAAACCCAGGCCCAAGGCCTCATGCATGCTAGGCAAGCACTCAAACTGTCATCTTCTATGAGCTGTGTTGCCATGCAGGGCTGCAAGTATCCTCCATGTGGGTGGCATAAATAAATCAAGCAAGGCCACATGTAGCCTCAGTTCTGACTCCTGGAGAGCTACTATACTGCAGAGGTCTCTGCTCTGTACATGTTCTCCAGGACTCTGAAAAGAGGGAGGAAACTCTGGGCACACTGGGGCTGTCCAGACATCAATGTGACTCCAATCTGAGCCTGCTGGCTCCTTCCCGGCAGAATCTGCCACTCAACGCAAGCTATCTGCATTTCTGGCTTATCCAATCGCAATTTGCACAACTATAATATAGTAGCTGAAGGGCATTTTTACCTTAAATTTATACCATCAAATCCATAATCCTGGTTATGCAGGATTGCAAAATTCAGGACGATAGGCTGGCATGGGTCCCATGGTCAAAAGCAGAGCCCAGACAGGAACCCAGGTTTTTGGCTCCCCAGCAACCCCACAACCCTTACAGGTCACCCCTTTCCCATGAAATTGGTTCTGACAGCTAGAGAATGAGTAGGCTTTTCTGCTATACAGAAATGGCTTTGTCTCTGGCATTTATCCGAGCAGAAAACTAAACATTCCAAAAAGGTTTTTATCACACTAGGAACCAATTCATAATAGCAATTAACCTGAGGTTTGAGGAATAACATCATCAGGAACAAAACGACTACAAGGACCACATAATTTTCAGTTAAAAAATGCATACAACAGTACAGCAAAACCTTAATTCTGAGCCCATTAAATGAAAACTTGTGTACAAACAGTGGCTACCCCCATGCTCCTTTGTTGGTCAGATGAAATGTCAAGATGTAATTGCTTCACTGACTTAAGAGCACAAGCAGGTCCTCAGTCATTTCAACAGGGCCTGCTCTACAGGGCATATGAGGCCTATGAACTCTCAGGCACAGAGTGAGAGCTGAGGCCTTGGTCCTATAGTCACTCAGTCCTGGGTTCAAATCCCAACTAGAACATTTGCCAGAGGTGTGACCTAGTGCCTCAGTTTCCCCATATGTAGAATGAGAGAAGCACAGCCAAGCACAGCCTTCACCTAATCAGACTAATGAGAAGGGGATTCGAGGGGAATGCTGAGCATTTTTCACATTTTTTCCTTGTGGTGTAGGGGATAGAATCCAGGGCCTTGAGCATGGTAAGCAAGTGCTCTACCACTGAGCCATAAACCTAGCCCCAATAATGCTTTTATTGGTCCTTAGTTTTGATTTCTGTATGTACATAAAAATAATAAAGCCCAGGTTTACATAAAAATATTTCAGATGCCTGTAATCCCAGCTACTCAGGAGGCTGAGGCAAGAGGATCGCAGTTTAAGGCCAGTCTGGGAAATTTAGCAAGACCTTATCTCAAAAAAAAAAAAAAAAAAGAGGAAGAAGCAGGTTGGGGATGTAGCTCAGTAGGAAAGCACCCGTGGATTCAATCCCCTCTACTGTAGAAAAAAAAAATTCAGATAGGTTGGCCACACCCCACATAGGTTGGTGTGTATTAGGAAGGGGTGAGATGGGGACCCAAGATGTGGCACCTCACCTGGTATTCCTCCTCTAGGCGTGACAGCAGCACAGCCTGCTCCACAGTCAGGTGTAGGTCAATCAGACCCAAGGTCAGCACCATGGACTTGAGTTGGGCCACTACAAACTCAATCCCTGCAGGGACACAAACCACATCAGGATACAAAACAGGGCAGTTGCTACAGCCTAATTCCTTGTGAGTCCTTGCACCTTTTATAAGAATAGGAGTAAATGGGGCAAAGGTGCCAGGAGTGGGAGATCGACCCAGGGCCCACCTGGGATTTAGCCCACTCTTCTGGCCTTCCTCGAGGTGACCCACCTCTGCTCGTCCCTGGGTGAGAACATGACCTGATCCTTGCTAATCAGTATATCTCCCCCAAACTCCTACCCAATGACTTGTTTCACAGATGGTCGGGCCAAGGAGATGAGAACTTGAGGCTTCTGTTGGAAAATAGAAACCCTACTTTCTGCTGGAAGGGTGTGAGCCTGGAGCTGAGCTAACGGGGTGGTATCACTTGTATCACACCTGCCCTCAGGCCCATGGAACCTCAGTGCATACCTTGTAAGGCCCACATGTTGTAAGATGCCAGGTGGCTGGTGAGCACCTCCTGCGTCTGTGCAGGGATGCTAGGTCCCATTATGCTGGTGGAGGAGCCAATCTTCACACCATATCTGAAAGGAAAAGGCTGCAACATGTCCCTGGCATGCTGTGTCCCAAAAGTAGCCCAATTTTTCACTGCAAGCAAACTACTGAGTATGTATATACCCCTTCAGGGCATGTGGTCAAGGGGCTAGTCTTAAGGACTCTGGAAGTAACGTCCCCTATGTGGCCTCCTGGCCTAATTTTCTAACCCTCAAAAGCAAAGAAAAGCAAGCAAGAAACGACCCTAAATGAAGTTGCATTGCTGATTCCTGTGAACAGGAGCTCAGTTAGGTGCAGGGACCTGAAACACTAACTCAATTGCCTGGAATCTTCATCAAACGTGTAGGTAACCTGTTCTTTAAATCTTTAAAAAAAAACTTTTGCACATTTGAGGCCATAAAAGATTTCTTTTAAATAGCATTTTCCTTAAAATAATGTTTGTATATGTCCTGTATCGCTCAATTATTTTTTCCATATATTAAGACTCTACAGTATTCAAGGCTTTGGTTTTCATCTGTGATTTCGGAGTCATGAACTGACTTCAAGAGAAGAGGCATGTTCAGGAATAATCAACAACAGGCTGGGGTGTGGTTCAATAGTAGAGGCAGCACCTAGCATGCATGAGGCTCTGGGGTCCAGCAAACACACACACACACACACACACACACACATCATAAATATATAGAACATAGGAAAAACATACATAATGGAGTAAAAATAATTTTTGTAATTCTTTCATATATCACTGGATTTTTTCTATTGTTTAAAAAATATCCCTACAAAATTTCTAATAATACAGACTGAATGTAGGAAAAGGCTAGATTTTTCTGGGAACTATTAAAGATTGGATATCTCAACTGCCACAAACACTTGATGATTCTGTACTACTGCAAAGATCTCCAGGCACCTCAATTAGTGTTATTCTAAAATGGCACTATATTGTCACATTTCTTTTAACATAACTGCTACATTTTATCTGCTCCTAGAGAATTCCAGTTCTGCCTTTCCCTTTAAAACCTACTGTGAGCACACAGGAAACATGTAGCAGATGAATGTGACAGACTGGTGGAATGGGACAGACTGCTGAACCTCATCAAAAAAATACAAGATACTATGGATAAGGCCGTGCCATGGACATCAGCCCTTCCACATGTCTCTTGAAATGAAATGGAATTTATTTTGCCACCACATCAATATCTATTCAATTTTGCACTCAAGAGTCTTCCTGTCAAGAAAAAATATTGGGTATCATCAATTCCAAATCCACAGGATGTTACCTATAATTTTGTAGAAAACTACCCTGATTTTTCTCCATGTGTATACATAATCTTACAAACAAACTGTTTAGTATAGTATATACACATAAATGTATAGTAATTGCATTTACTGTGTGCCCTGCAGGACGCTAAGCACTACCTTTATCACTGACTCTTCCTGACACCTTGAGGTAGGAAAGACTAACCCCATTTACAAACAAGGAAATTGAAGATCAGAGAGATCAACTTACTAGTCCAAAGTCAAATGGCTAATAGTGGCAGAGCTGGGACTCAAACCAACACTGCTGGTCTGACATGTGTAGGAAGGGGGCCTGGGGTCTCTGGTACTTCCTAAGGACCCAGAGTTGCCCCTATGAGATACAATATGCTCTGTAATAGGTGCTCAGTGAATGGTGACTGACATGAATTTGAGGAACATATTTTTCCAAGGGGACCCTATCCCCAGACATCTAATGGGAGCTGACTTCTAAGGCACTCTGAACTCAGAAAGCTGGCTAGCTAAGGGCATTGGGTACCTGGGACACCTGCCAGCATGCTGCCCAAACCAGGCCCACTCAATGTTCTCTGTGGGGCTGTGCATCTTACCTTTTCTCGGCCCATTCTATGATTGGATCCCATTCATTCTTTTGAAGTTCCACTAATGTCTCTGGCTCTTCCACTCTGTAGCTAATTCATTGTAAAAAATCACTTAATAAAAAAGTACAATTCCGACATTCAGTGATAGAAAAGGAAGAACACAGGGCAACAGCAAAACCATTTCCACCACCAATCCAGTGCCCCAAGTCTTGTCCCCTAAAGCCGTGGTTCTCCAAGTGTGGGCCTAGGGCCAGCAGCATCGGCCTTCCCTGGGTACTTGTAAGCAAAGTACATTCTCAGGCCATTTCCCATATCTACTGAAATCAGACCTTTGGGGTGGGGCCCAACATTTTAGAAAACCTTCTAGGGCATCCTAATTTAAGTTTGAGTTTGTGAACCACCGTCCTGAATACTCCCCAATATTTTGACAGGTCCAAGTTTGCAGTACCACATTAGTGTTAATGGAAAACAGATGCAACCTAATAATTGCAACCTGGGATCCAGAGCCACTGGATATGAACACTATGCCAGCAACTCAATAACAGCATCCCTGCCTTCCCCCTTCCAAGACACCGTGCTCTTGGCCACAGGACCACAGGAGCCCACCCACCTCTTGGCATGGAGGCTTGACCAGAGAAAACCAACCTAGAAGCCAGGCTGTGCCACTTGTTTAAACCAAGGGATGCAGAGATGAGTCAGTTGAGGGGAGCTGAGCTGCAAAGCCTCATGGGACAGGAACCCCAGGGGGCACTATGGAAAGTCACATTCTCATGTAAGCAGAGGGAAGCAAAGAGGTCATGAGTGTGTGGAGGAGCTGGGCTTCTTGCTAGGAGGTGCAGATGAGTGGAGGGACTTTCCTGCCTCTACCCAACCCACAACCAGCAGGAGATGGTAGGAGCTCTGGCTTCTAGGATCCTCAAGCTGTTTCCCTGGTGGTTTGATATTCCTTCATTTCTGTCAGGACTCCTGTACAGTTTTCAAGAACCTCCCTTTTGGGGGGTCTGAAGATTATATCCCTAGCACCCCACACACACTTTTTTTTTTTTTTTTTTTGGTACTGCAGAGTGAATCCAGAGGCACTTGACCACTGAGCCACATCCCCAGCCCTTTTTGTGTTTTGTTTAGAGACAAGGTCTCATGAGTTACTTAGGGCCTCACTAAGTTGCTGAGGCTGGCTTTAAACTCGTAATTCTCCTGCCTCAGCCTCTTAAGCCTCTAGGATTACAGGCATGCACCACCATGCCAGCCATATTTATCCCTTTTTATTTTTGAGACAGGGTCTCGCTAAGTTGCTGAGGCTGGCCTCAAATTAAGTGATCCGCCTGCCTCAGCCTCCCAAGTCATTGGGATTACAGGTGTGTGCCACCACACCTGGCAAGAATGCTTTTTTTCCCTGAGCTAAGTTGAATGTTTTTGTTCTGCTTCCTGCACAATTAGCCAAATATCACTGGCCAATTAGTCAAAGAACATAGACACAAATGGAGAATTGAGAACTAGAGGAGTTTAGATCCCGACTATCACCATCTGTAATGGCAGGGAAGCCAACCCAAGAATGTGCTAGTGGGCACAAGTCAGGGTCAGAGACCCTGGTGGGGACTGGCAAGCGAGCTATGGTGCTGGAACCTGTAAGAGCTACATGCACCTCCTCCCTGCCGACCCCAACCCAAGGAACACTCCATGTTCTAGTAGCCTGAGAAGTCTTCCTCCTAAGGATCTGCAGAGCAGCTGGGGCCAGTCAAATAAGCTGGAACAGGAACCTGTCCACCTTGTGAGGATACAGGAAAGGGCCTGCCTCTTCTACCAAGAACTCTCTGGGCAAATGAGTCAAAATAGCCCAGGGGACTTGCATGGCCCAAGGGGACTGCTCATCTAAATGTCAATTACCAGAGGGTGTCAGTGTCCAGAAACTTCACAGCTGCCTGGATCAGCTGATCCTTGTTGCGTTGGGTTGGGTTGTCCAAGGATGTGTTGCACAATGTGGTCTGAATCAAAAGCAGAAAGTGCCCCATCACCACCTGCCAGTCCCAGACAAAAGCTCTGCTCTCCTGAGGACACTCCATATGATGCAGCAGAGTGAGAACCAAAGTGTTCTCAACCCCAAGTGTTTTCAGAGGCCTGGCAGCAGCATATTCATAGAGAGCATCCAAGAGCCAGGACCCATGCTTAAAGCTATGTGTGTGCTCAAAGGGACTCATGGGACTCTCATAGCCCTGGATTAGGGAATGTCCCCAAGGTCTCCTGCTCTTTATTGCCAGGCTCTGCTATGTTTAACTTAATCCCACAACAACAATTTGGAGCAGGTACTATTATACCCATTTTAAAAATGTGAAAACTGAAGCAAAGAGAGGTGAAATACATCCTCAGATACAATAAATAAGACATGTAAGCAATCAGAAAACTCAAAGCATTTACCAGATGGCTCCCATAACACCTTAGAAAGAAAAAAAAAATGATCCAAACGGGGATCAAGATTATTATGCCAGGTTTGCCTTACCAACAATAGGTTTCTTAAGTTACTCAAACTATTTGTTTGTAGCCCTAACACCCTCATTTCATCAGACAGCCAGAGAGCAGGTGCTAACTCAGAGGGCTGTGATGTTGCGGGGAAGCCCCCTGAGTTTGTATGTCAAGCAAACAATGACCACGATGAGAACAACTAACTCATATTGACTGAGTGCCTGCCCTACTTCAAGGACCATGCTAAGTGTTTTCTATGTGTTATCTCATCACAATCCAGCCCACAACTCTGGGGTGGGTTCTTTTACCACTCATCTTTTACAGATGGGGGACATGGTGCCCAAGGTCACAATGTGGGGGCTACAGAGGCTGAACCTAATGAGTCTGGCAGACTCTGTTCCCTCCTCTGCCACCCTTGTGCCTCAGTGATCCACCTGTGTGTGGATTGGGGGCTATCTCTACACAGAGTCTTCCTCGTCTTACCTACCTGCCTTTCTGGTTCCTGCACCCAACCAATATTTTTTGGTACCATCTAAACTTCCTGTTGGAGCTCGTGAATAAAAGAGACATGGCCCCTGCCGACGTGCAGCAGAAGAGAGAGACAATAAACATGCAAACATAAAGCAGATCATTACACACTAAGTGCTGAGGAAACAAATGGCCAGCTGCTGTAATAAATGGCCAGCTGCTAGAATCAAAAATAAGAGAGCTGGACAGTCAGCAAAGGTGACATCTGTCCTGAACAGAGGAGGAACAGGCCACCTAGCATGGTGTTCCAAGCAGAGGGAACCGCAGTTGTCCAGGCCAGATAGAGAAAGAGGTTGGCCTATTCGATGACTGAGAGAAGGTGAGTGTGGCTGCAGCCCAGGCCCACAGAGGCCTATCCCCAGGGACATGTCACAATTTGAAAAGGGGTCTGAATCTTGCCAGGTAGTCTGGAAGCCCCTCACAGGTGTCAAGGTGTAAGCTGGTGCTGTGAACTTGTTACCAGGTGCATGGTGTAGAACTTGATGGTATCCTGCTGGGAGTCCCATTCGGTGGCCACTGCGATAGCCAAGGCCTCATTGGGGACCGTAAAGAGCTTGGCTTGGGGAGTTTTCAGCTTCCTGTGGTCCAGATTTATCTCAAAGCCACCTTGAAAGATCAAATAAAACACTCTCAGGGATTGTGAAGTGGAATCGGGTAACCATTCCTAATTTTAGCCACTTGAATTGATGCAAAGACAACTCTGAGTCCCTTACAGAAACGTATCTGACAAAAGTGCGAAGGATAATCTCGCCACTGAACCAGCTGGAGATGAAAAATGTTTCCAACCATTCACACAAAAAAAAAAAAAAAAAAAGGAGGCCGTCAAAATTTTAGACACTCACCTTCACCCTGTGTGATGCTGACATTCTGATAAAACCTCTTCCTTTCTGTAAGAAAGATTTTTTAGAAAGGCATTTAAAATAACGTCAAGTGGGCTCACAGGGCTATAAGACCAGCTTGCACCATTACTGCTAATGCTGATTGATTGCCTTGATTTTCATATCACCATTCAAGGTCTGCCCTACTCTGCAGTGTAATCAACGACTTCTGATTAAAGCTGGGGGGGAGGGAAGCATCTGCTCTCTAGAGATGAGGAAGGAATGGGACATGCTGGTCATGCCTCTGCCAGTCTCCCAGCCCAAGGGCAAGTCTGATCAGGGGCTTCTTGGAGCTGCAGACTGTGTGACCTGACAGATTTCCAACACCTTCTGCTTTAGATAACAAGTACGCTCACCACCACCTCCCGCCCTTCTGGGACCAGCATAACACAACCAAATCTAAAGTTGGTGTCTAAAGCCAGAGTCTTTCAGACAAGACTCTGATGTCTGTAAGAAGGAATAACTGAGAAGCCAGAGTGTGTGCACATGTGCGTGTGTGTGGTACGCAGGCAGAAAGTAAAGCTCCCAGGAGCATTTCCCATCTTCCCTCTCCAATTAATTAACCTAATTAACCAGCTTGCTTGTGTATTCAACAGGAACTTTAAACATTTCCTTCAAGAATGGGGAAAGTCTGTGTTCTATGTTTTCTTTATGAAAATTCTGAAAAACCTGGTATGTATGCATACTAGGGGGAAAGGGTAATGGAGAGAAGGCATGTGGTTTTACTCCAAACATATTATTTTTAGGTTTTCCACATCATATTGGTTATTTAATTACATCTCATTTGTCATTGTTAATCCTTAAATATGGAAAAACCAAAACTGCATTTCCATTGTGACTTATAGTAAACTTAAGGGCCAAAGTTTTTCCCACAAAACTATGTCCACTATGTGTCAGATGCTATTCTAGGCACTCAGGATATAATAATGACTAACAGATAAAAATCTTTGTCTTTTTTTTTTTTTTTAAGTTGATCAGATCTGGCTGCCCAGGTGATCTGGCACAATTTACCACTCATCTGAAATCATAACACTGATCCTATCACACATTTGACACCAAAATAGGATTCTACCACCGCAGAGTTTTTTAGTTTCCCTATCTTATCTGGTGTCTGGTCTTATTCAAATTGCAGGTTAGACATGGGTCTGAGGCCTTCTTTCCTGTCTTTGGTCTGTATCAAGGTATCTAGGCTATGTCCCTTGTGTTTTCTGATGCCCTGGCTGGGCAGTGCTCTGACTCAACACTGGGAAGGATTTTCCCTAAGTAAGCAGGAAGTGCCAGCTGACAGTGCCACATGCCAGTGAGCACACAAACACACTGCCCAGTGCAGGTCTGGGAAATGGGCCTGAGACTGGCACTAGAGGAGTAAACCGGGGCAGAAGTTGACTGAACAGGGCTGAACCTCCAAAAACTGCTAGGGCATCTGAGTTTCACATAAGAGAAGTTTTGTTTTGTTTTTTTTTAAATTTTTTTAAAAATATCTATTTTTTAATTGTAGTTGGACACAATACCTTTATTTATTTATTTTTAATGTGGTGCTTAGGATCAAACCCAAGGCCTCGCATGTGCTAGATGAGCACTCTACTGCTGAGCCACAATCCCAGCCCAAGAGAAGTTTTTTTTTATTCTGTTCTGCTGTCCAGCTTTGCTGTATCTGAATGAGAAAAAACTGGAATGGAGTAGGATGAATTAAGGGCAGGGAAGGAAAGACCAAAACTGCTCAACATGGGAGAAAACCACACAGTAAAGAGATGGAAGAAGGGCAAAAGGAGCCCAAAGGCTCCTAGTCCTCAGATTTGAAGACAGGTACATGTGTGGTCATGTTTCAGATGGGGTTCTTCTGAAAAAAGAACTGACATTCAGAGAGGCACACTCCAGTCTTGAAGTATACTTCAGTGAGTACTGATCACTGTCCAGGATATGAGACAGTCCTGGGGATGGGATGTGCCCTTGAGGCTCTTACTGTCTAGTGGAGACACTAAACCAGGCACAATGATGAGAGCACATGGGATGACAGACACACAGACTGAGGAAGGCTGATCTTATCCTGGGCTGCAGGAAGATCTCCAAGCAGTCAGATTTCATCTGTGACCCAAAGAAGAAGCAGGAGTTACCAAAGCTCTTGACTGATTTGTTTAGGGAGGACGTGTGTGGAAACAGTTTCCAAAACTAGAAATAACTTGCATGAAGGTGCAGACCTTCAAGATAGCACCGAGGTTAGGAGAACTAAAAAGATGATCAGAAGAAGACTGGAGCTGTCCAGCAGAGAATGGTTAGAAATGTCCAGAGAGGGTGGTGGAGGCCAGACTTGCAGAGACAAGGGGACTTGTAAGTCACAGTAAGGAGAACAAAGACAGCCAAGTAAGGAGTTCATACAGGCAAAGATGAATGGAATCTGGACAATTCATCTGGTGGGATTCATGAGACCCAACAACGTCAAAAAGACAGAGACTATTCACCTAGGCTCTCAAAGGCCATGGGTCACATAAGACAAGCTGGGAGCCTAGGAAGCTTCCAAATGCTCATTGAATACATGATTAGCTGCCATCAACAGGAATGCTACCTTTAAAGACAAAAGAAACAGCAAAGCTTTGTAGGATCCTACAGAATCAGGATATACATTGAGTATGAAAGGTCCCTTTACAGACATCTGTGGCAAAAACATACACACTGCTTTTTCAGAGACAGTTTTGTGTACTATGTAGATGCAAAGAAATTGGTATGTGAAACAATGCTGAATTTAAAAAGATGGCCACAAGAAAATAGGTTAGTTAAGCAGAGAATAACTGTTAAAACTGCCCCTATGAAGAGGGATGAATGGGAGATTATTGTCCTTTTGGGTTCCTCTTTCCTGTGAAGTTGCTGTAATCCACAGAGAGACAAGCAGTCTTCTGTGTCACTTCCCCATACAAACCTCTTATCTTAGTCTTTATGGACCAGTGAGTGATCTTTCTGCGAGTCACAATTTCCAGGATGGCCTTTTCTTCAGAAATATTCAAAGCCTCAGGAACTACAACTACCACAATGCCCCAAGAAGAGGAAGTGCTGGTCTCAGAACTGTGGCAACATCTTTTATCTTTTAAAACAGTGCCATCTGGTGGGCCTTAAGCCTCAAAGCTGAAATTTTAAATCTAGACATCCCTCCATCTGTAACCCTGGGACAGTTCCAACCAGCTGTTTTCAGGTATCAAAATTCTTCAGTTAAAATTATATAAAGAAATCCTTCAACACAATAACAAAAACGTAAATAACCCAATTAAAAATGGCCAAATGATTTGAATGGATATTTCTTCAAAGAAAATACACAAATGGACAAGTACATGAAAAAATGCTTGCTCTCATTAGTCATCAGGGAAATACATATCAAAACCACTTCACACTTTTATGATGGCTATAATAAAAAATTATGCAGGGGCTTGGATTGTGGCTCAGCGGTAGAGCGCTCGCCTAGCATGGGTGGGACCCCGGGTTTGATCCTCAGCACCACATCAAAATAAAGGCATTGTGCTGTGTCCATCTACACTTAAAAAATAATTTTTTTTAAAAAAAAGATATGCAATAACAAGCATTGTCAAGGATGAAGATAAATTGGAACCCTAATATTGGAGATGTAAAATGGTACAGCCACTTTATTTTTTTTTATTTTTTATTTTTTTAAAGAGAGAGAGTGGGGGGGGGGGAGAGGGAGGGAGGGAAGGAGGGAGGGAGAGGGGGAGAGAGAATTTTATATTTATTTTTTAGTTTTCGGCGGACACAACATCTTTGTTTGTATGTGGTGCTGAGGATCGAACCCGGGCCGCACGCATGCCAGACGAGCACGCTACCGCTTGAGCCATATCCCCAGCCCGATACAGCTACTTTACAAAACAGTCTAGCAGGTCCTTAAAAAGTTAAAGGGTTACCATTTTACCTCGTAATATACTTTAGGTATATACCTATGAGAAATAAAAACTCACACAAAACTTTTACACAAATGTTTACAACAGCATTATCCATAACAAATAAAGGACAGAAATAACCTACATGTCAATAAATGGATGAATGGATGAAAAAAATGTGGTATACTTGAACAACAGAATGTTACTTGTCAATAAAAAAGAATGGAATATTAATATGTGATATGACTCAGATAAGCCTTTTTTGAAAGCATGCTAAGTGAAAAAAGCCAGTTAAAAAAGACTACATTCTATTTATATGAAATGTCCCAAACAGGGAAATCTACAAAGGAGGGAACAAAAATAGTGGTTGCCCAGGACTAGGGGAATGAAAGGGGTAAAGGCAGATTTCTTTTGGATGTGATAAAAATGTTCTAAAATTGTGGTAATGGTTGACACTCCATGAATACACTAAAAACTACTGAATTTATACTAAATGATTGTACTATATGGTGAGTGAATTATATCTCCATATAGCTGTTAAAATATTCTTCTGACCAAATGTATAAAAGTACCATTTTCCACACTTGTACATTGCTGGTGGGACTGCAAATTGGTGCGGCCAATTTGGAAAGCAGTATGGAGATTTCTTGGAAAGCTGGGAATGGAACCACCATTTGACCCAGCTATTCACCTTCTCGGTCTTTTCCCTAAAGACCTAAAAAGAGCATACTACAGGGACACTGCTACATCGATGTTCATAGCAGCACAATTCACAATAGCAAGACTGTGGAACCAACTTAGATGCCCTTCAATAGATGAATGGATAAAAAAAAATGTGGCATTTATACACAATGGAGTATTACTCTCCATTAAAAAAAGACAAAATCATAGAATTTGCAGGGAAATGGATGGCATTAGAGCAGATTATGCTAAGTGAAGCTAGCCAATCCCTAAAAAACAAATGCCAAATGTCTTCTTTGATATAAGGAGAGTAACTAAGAACAGAGTAGGGAGGAAGGGCATGAGAAGAAGATTAACATTAAACAGGGATGAGAGGTGGGAGGGAAAGGGAGAGAGAAGGGAAATTGCATGGAAATGGAAGGAGACCCTCAGGGTTATACAAAATTGCATACAAGAGGAAGTGAGGGGAAAGGGGAAAAAAAAAAAACAAGGGGGAGAAATGAATTACAGTAGATGGGGTAGAGAGAGAAGAGGGGAGGGGAGGGGGAGTAGAGGATAGGAAAGGCAGCAGAATACAACAGACACTAGTATGACAATATGTAAATCAGTGGATGTGTAACCGATGTGATTCTGCAATCTGTATACGGGGTAAAAATGGGAGTTCATAACCCACTTGAATCAAAATGTGAAATATGATATATCAAGAACTATGTAATGTTTTGAACAACCAACAATAAAAATTATTTTAAAAAATTAAAAAAGAGAAAAAAAATAAATAAAAGTACCATTTTCCAAATTGCTCTCAATATAGCAGAGGTTGTCAAACGTTTTCTGCAAAGAGCCAAACAATATTCTAGGCTGTGCAGACCATATAGTCTCTATTGCAACTTAGCTCTGCCACAATAGTGAAAGCTGCCATAAACAAGATGTGAAGGAAAAAATGTGGCTGTATTCCAGTAAAACTTTATTGACAAAGGTGGCAACCTGGACCTCTGACCTAGACTACAAATCTCCCTTAATCCACATCACCACCCTCTGCAAATGACAGGGCAGGAATGCCTATAAAGTGGTAGAGACTCAGAGGCTGTCTTGTCCAATGATAAACAACTTATAAATGGTAGAAGCAAGACTTCCAGCCTTGACATCACTGGGTGTTTGCATGAGCTAGAAATGCTGCTTCTCCAGAATATCTCTCCCTCCAGATAGTCACCAGATCTCTGACAAACTGGTACAGATCTGATGGGCCACAAGAGCCTCACAGAGGTCTCTTCCTCCAAAGCCTCAGGGATCCTTGTCTAAGCCCTCCCTCTCTTTTTTTTTTTTAATTTTATTTTTTATTTTTCTTTTTAGTTGTAGATGGACACAATATCTTTATTTATTTATTTTTATGTGGTTTTGAGGATCGAACCCAGTGCCTCACACATGCGAGGCAGGCGCTCTACTACTGAGTTACAGCACTATTCCTAAACCCTTTCTCTTTTTGATGACTTTCAATGGTACAAACATGTCTAAGGTACCACATTCAAACACCTTGTCAACTTCAGTTTTCATCAAAAAGGACCCACTTAGGTTTAACCTTCCACCAATCCAAAGACACGCAAAAATCTCACAACTGGTAAAGCCTTTGCAGAGCATGAGGCCTGGTTTATGTACCCCTCTCCCTGGGCCTCATGAGTGCCTTCCTGGGATGCCCTTCCTTTTTTTTTTTTTTTTTTTTTTTTTTTTGACATTCACTAAGTTGGTTGTGTAGGCTGGCCTTGAACTCCTGGACTCAAGTGATCTTCCTACCTCAGCCTTTGAAGTAGTTGGGACTAAAGATGCATGCCACCACACCCTTCTTCCTCTTTACTAGCTGTGCATTGCCCATTCTAGGTCCTTCGATTAAGGATAGATGAAACCTCAGCTTCCTGCTACATCCAAACTCCTTCCCCATTTGTATGAAGTTATGGAACTAACAGACAGAAGGATCCTCACAGGCCACTACAGCTTCAACTCACTGAAAAAAAGGAGGAAGTAGTTACATGCCCAAGATCACAGTACTTCATAAGTTAAACAAGCACCAGACCCCCAATTTGTATTCCTGTCACAATGCCAAACTGCCTGTGAAGTTCTGAATTTCCTAAAGCAGGTAGTGTTAGGGCAAGGTCTCATACAACCTGCTGTCACTCTGGATATGCTATAGACACCCAACACTCTTCCTCCTTCTCATCACTGAACTGTTTCTCATAGAGCAATGCCCAGCTTAAATGCCCTTTCACCCCAGGCTCTTTCTAGACTCTGAACATCCCCAAGACAGGAAGAGGTTCTTCTTTGTGTTCTCACAGCTTCTTTGTACTTCCCTTATCAAGTATATTATAAGTCATTGGGTAGTCAGGATAATGTAGCCTTCTGCATTTGACAGTGAACATCATTCAGGTAGATATCACATCTGTCTTGAAGATCATGGTGCCTCCTGCCCCCAACACAGAAAAACTAATCAAATGGAAGGAGAGTATTACTATTTTTCATTCACTAAAATCAGTCACTTCCTTTCTTACCCTCAAGTCTCTTCTCCAGCGGCAATGAAAGAGCCACTACTTTCTTCTAGGCCTTATCACAGTCACAGGTGGACAAAGGAGGCATGGTGTCAACTCCCACTTAAGAGAGAAGGCTCCAAAGAAAGCAGGGGTTGTGGCAGGGCACTAGTACAGAGGACCTGGAAACTGCAGAGAAAAGTGCATTGGATGGGGTCCATCTGCGCTAGGGACCCAAAGTACAGGCCAGCCTTTGCCCTACACAAAATTCAGAGTCTGCTCCGTGACCTTGGGAGTTCTGACCCAGAGACCAAATTTCCTGAGGGAAAACAAGAAAGACACCTACTTCCCTCATTAAAGAGAGGAAAGCCATAAGCTCCGAGAAAAGCCGCACAGGCCAAATGTCAATCGCAACCTCTGCCCCGACTGCGCTGCAAATCTTCGGGCCGTCTCCTTTCCCATCTACAACAGGATTAGATTAGCCTGAATGACCTCGAGGGCCTAAGCCCTGCCTCAGTCACCCGACACTGCCCGGCCGAAGACCTCAGCCCAGTGTAGCCCGGCTTGGCCACTGGCCAAAAGGTAACGTCCTGGCCTCACCTGTCGGGGGAGCGTAGGTCCGGACCGGGGGCTGGGGACTTGGCCCCGGACTCGCTGAGATGATAGGGTCACTAGGGGGCCGGTTCAGGAGGTAGTGCCCACGGCCTCGCAGCCGAAGGCAACTCCTCCACATCGCGCCGCGGGACCTGGGAGGACACGCGCAGCGAAACCAGAAAGCAGGAAACAGCGAAAAAATCCCTAAGCCGCAAGCCGCTGGGGCTGTACGGAAACCTTTCACCACGCTCCCAGAGCCCTCAGCCTCCCCTGGACGCCGCCATCTTCCATATGACACCTACGGCGCGCCGTCGCAGCCGCGCGCCCCTGGCGCACACCCCCAGTCAATCAGCATCACAAACGCACCTCGCCCCGCCCCCTTCGCGCGCGCCTCCGGAAGAAGACTACAAGTCCCAGAAGGTAGCTCGCGCACCTCGCCACGTGTTTTCTCCGCCCGCCAATGGGCGGAAGCGCCGCGTGAGCCTGCTCCCGCCCCCTCGGCGATCTCGAGCCAATCGGAAGGGGTAGTGTGTGTGTGTGCGAGGGCAAGTGGGGAGGGGGACCCAGCTCAGGACAGGGGCCCTGCTCGCAGGTCCCGGGGTCCGGGTGCCGGCCCGAGAGCTTGGTCCGCAGGCAGCGGGCGGGTGGTGCCCCCTCCTGCCCCCACCCCGCGCGTGCGCGCCCCAGCCCCTCCCTCCCCGTCACCCTCCTCAGCTCCCGCGCGGCGGCGGCGGTTCCTCTCCCCCTCCCCCCAGCCCTGGCTCCGGGGGACCCCGCGATGCCGGTCCGCACCGAGTGTCCCCCGCCGGCCGGTGCCTCGGCCGCCTCCGCGGCCTCGCTCATCCCGCCGCCGCCCATCAACACCCAGCAGCCCGGCGTGGCCACCAGCTTGCTCTACAGCGGCTCCAAGTTCCGCGGCCACCAGAAGAGCAAGGGGAACTCGTACGACGTAGAGGTGGTGCTGCAGGTGAGCGCCGGGCCGGGCCGGCCGGGGCCCGAGGGCCTCCTCGCGGCGCTCACGGGCCTTGCCCGCCCTCGGCTCCTCGAGCCCGCAGCCGCGGACCAGGCCTTCACCGCCCTCACCGCCGGGGCCTCCTGCACCCGGCGCCTCCCACCCGGGACCTGCTCCGCCGGTGTCTCACACACTCCGAGCCCCAGACCTGTGCTGCCCCTCGGACCCAGAGCCTGTGGTGACCGGCTCCTGGCAGACCCTGAACACTGTCCAGACTTGAATCCCGGGGATCCGGAAGCCCTGCCTTGTCTGGCCTTCCTCTGGCCTGGGTCCTTCCTCCCCAGACCTGTCGCCCTACACCAGTCCCTCTCAGACCCTGAGGAACTCTCCATTGGTTTCCCCAGACTTGGGGCCCAGGCCAGATTCTGCCAGACCTGAGACACGATCCCCTATTCTCAGACCCTGGTGGTTTCCTCTGTAGGAGAGGTTGATCAGCCTCCTGAGACGGGGGAGCATCCTCCCTCCTTTGGCTGAGAGCCCCGAATCCACACTGATCCCTCCCTCGTCCCTGTCTCCAAATAAACCAGGTATTCACACCCTGGGTGCCAGAGTGGAGCTCTTCACCAGTCTGTTAGGATCTTACCCCTTGGGGTCCCTGATACCACCTCCTACTTCAGTTTCTTAATGGTCCAGGCACCCAGCTGCCCTCTTCCCCCAGGCTTCTCATAACTTCCTACCCAGTTCTGTGGCCACTTCCCATCAGCTCCAAGTCTTCACTGGCCTCTACCCAGACTTTCATCTAGCTCATTACTTGGTCCAAGGGACCTTCTTTCAAAGTGTTCTTAACTTTATCTACACAGGCATAGGGCTTCCTCCGAGTCTCTGATACCAGTATACTGGGAAATCTAACTCACCCAGTTTTTATTTTGTGTCCACTCACCTCCCCCTGTTTGACCTGGATTTCTGAGTACCTGCTGCCAGTCCCAGATCAGCTTTGGAATTACAGCTTCACCTGCCCAGGGCCTTTCCTATGCCTTACCTCTCTCACCCAGATGTTGGCACACTTGACAGTTTTTCCTAGCCAAAGGAGCTTGGTGGTGATAGATACTCCCTTTTATCTCCCTTCCGCACAAACTATTCTTCCTCAGTTTTCACCCCTGCCTACTTGAGGACCCACTTTCCCCATTCCTTTACCCATTCTTTCTGATACCAAAAGCCCCTCCAAACACCTGTCCTTTGAAAACCCTCCCAGAAGCTTAGAGGCCCTATATGCTGCCTCACTGCCCTCCTTTGTGAGGGTGGACAGTACCTGTTCCTCATGCTCACTCTTTGCCCTCTTAGTCTCTCTTCTGAACAAGTAGACTTTCTACTCAAAAGACAGTAAGGGTGCCTCTTCTTTCTGCTAACTGTAGAGCATTCCTTTTTTTCTTACTGCTTTGTGAGAGTAAATAGTTTTTCTTCTGGCTTTGGCTGAGAAAGCTGCATCCTCTTGTTAATTGTGTCTTTGATCTGTAAATTTAAAAGTTCTATCATGAGCTGTGATATTTATTGTAATTAAAAAGCTACTGTAGCTGGGATATTTTAGTCTCATAACTCTATGCCTAATGTGATTCCCTTTTTTTTGCTTAAAATGTGAGACTTTATGAAGGTCACACTGTTTTTGTTTTTTCCTGGTGTTGTTTGTTTTGTTTTAAATTCAGCTAATCATAAAATTCTGAAATGAGATCCCTGGGTCATGTTTGGACAGTCCCAAGTTTGTGCCCATTTGATGTTTTCCAGTGTGGTAGTCTACCGACAGGGTAGCTAGGTGTCTAAAGGAGTCTGCTTTGGTTACTTCAGTGACTATTCCTTTCTGTGATTATTGTGTTATTTCTGAACTCTCGTCAGGTGCCAGTCTCCTTGTGAACCAATAAAAGCCGTGATTGAGTGATTGGTAGGTCTCAGGCCTCCCAGACCATCTGACTGATGGTTGGAAGACACTTAAGTAGGATGTCTGATGGTGGGGGCAGTGGCCATGCCAAGGAATGCCACCCTACATCTGGATTGGTGAGCTGCTTATTCACATCATTGCGACTTGTTAGTGGCATGTGAATTGCCCCACCATCTGGTTTTTCAGCCAGGACAAGTTTCTTAGACTTAGCCTTCTCAGAATATTTCTCCTGTCTTTCATAAGCCTCTTTCTTTTTCTTTTCAAGCACCTTTATTCACATATAATTCACATACTATATAATTCACCTATTAAAGTATACATTTCAGTAATTTTTAATATATTCAGAGTTGTGCAGCCATCACCACTACCAAATTTTAGAACATTTTTATCATCCCCCAAAGAAACCTTCATACCTTTCGCTACCATAGGCAACTGCTAACTTTTTAAAATATATTTGCCTGTTCTGGCTATTTCATATAACTAGAAACAATATTTATCTTCTTGTGACTGGCTTATTTAACTTTGCATGATATTTTCAAGATTCATGAAATTCATCCATATTTTAGAACGTGTCAACATTCATTCCTTTTTATTGTTCCAGTGTTCATTGTATGGATGTAACAACCTTTTGTTTATCCGTTGATAGACATTGATGTACATCAGTTGGTAAACATTTGGGTTGTTCATACTTTTTGGCTATAACAAATAATGCTGCTATGAACATCTGTGTACAAATTTGTTCATTTATGGTTGTTTTTGAGATGGGGTTTCACTGTATTGTCCAGGATAACTTTGAACTCGTGTACTTAAGTGATCCTCCTGCCTCAGCCTCCTAAGAGCTAGAATGTAGACTTAGCACTGTGCTCAGCTCATGTACAGATTTTTATGTGGACATGCTTTTACTTCTTTTGGGTGGGTAGACAGACCTAAGAGTGAAACTGCTGGGTCATATAGTAACTCTATATGTAACATTTTGATGAACTACCAGTCATTTCTAACGTGGCTGTCATTTTACATTTCCACCAGTGACATATGAGGATTCTAAATTTGCACATCCTCTCCAACACTTGCTATTGTTCATCTTTTTGACTGTCATCATCCTGATGAGTGTGAAATAGTAGCTCAGTGTGGTCTGTGTTTGAATTTCTCTGGTGGCTGGTGGTGATGAGTATCTTTTGTGTGCTTTTTGGAGCATTTTCTATTGGGATATTCCAGTATAGTGTTCCTCAAACCTTTATGGGGTTCTGACTGGATCTTTTTTACCCTTACTGCGACTACTTTTTCCCTCTCCTACCATTCTAGAAGCCACCAGTAGAGTGAAGCCTGGGTCCCTTTAAAAGGAATATTAAAAAGAGCAGCTGTTGGACACAGCTGTGCTGTGAGACTTCCTTGCTGAACATTTGCCTTGTTATCTTTCTCATTGAGATTCTGCCCCCTCATTTGGTGAAAACTGTATGTGTTGTGGGGTTATTTTGAGTTCATCAACCATCATCAAGATCAATTTGGACAGAATAGGAGAGACACGTGGTTGAACGGAGGCCAAACAGAAATTCTGATTCTTGAGCATGTGATAATCCATGCAAATACAAGCCAATTTACAGTTCAATTTTAAATCTTATTAGCAAGTATCCCTGCCACCTGATACCCTTTCCAGCAGCTGTGAAACCCCAAACTATACTGAATTCAATGAGAATTGCATACATGAAATTTAAGGCCTCAGGTTAGAACTTTTAATAAAAGTTCTTTGCTGAACCATATTAGTGTGAATCAGCTGTTTTCCATAATGTCCAATGCCAAGGTCAGCAGATGAGGACACATAAAATGCTTTGGCAGTTTTCACATGGAATACCTTTGTCACCAGCACCAAACTGTGAAGGCACTTTAGCTTTATTGAAGCTCAATTGCTTCGGTGCTGACATCATCTGGCTGACCAAGATCATTACAGTTTTTAAGGACTGCCTTAGTATTTCATTTATGGTATAATCGACCAATATCTGATAAATGCCACAAAACTTTGCAAGTTTCTTGAAATGAGCCTTAATTTAAAATGAAAGTCTTATTGTGCTACAGGTACCACTAAACCTTGTTTTGCTTTGATTCAAAGGTTATTAGGCAGAGTTCCAGAGTTCGTGACAATTGGATTCATTTTAAGTCACAAACTCACACTCTGCCTGTTTAGGGTGAGTCTGTATAGATTTGGATAAATGTACTAGTTAGTATGCTTTCAGCCATGAGTAACCATATTTTGCATTTCAAAATAGTTTACAGAACAAATGAACCTATTATCTCACATTGTAAGGCGTTTAGAGGCGACGTGGTCCCAGGATAGTTAATTAAGGGGCCAAAATTCTTCCATCTTACTGGGCTGTCATCCCTAGCATTGTGTGGCCTGTTTCTCCTCCTGATCTCTTCTTAATGG